GGTGATGCGAGTGGCCGTCGCCATCTTGGCAGCTGTGAAGGGCAGGGAGGCGCGGGGGACGCCGGGAAGGGGCTGGTTCTCGCGAGACTTGGTACCCTATAAGAGCGGGAGGTGGCGAAACCCCGCCCCTTTTTTTTACTTCAGCCGCCATGGACACCAGCCTCCTGCAGCCCATCAAGCTGGCCAGGGTAGAGACTGAGCGGGGGGGACACCGGGAACGGGGAGGGGGACACCGGCACTGGGACCGCGCTAATCCCTTCCTTTGTCCCCGCAGGTGACCAAGGTGCTGGGCCGGACCGGCTCCCAGGGGCAGTGCACGCAGGTGAGCGGGACAGGCCGGGCCGCGGGGGGGCGAGGGGGAGGAGCGCCGCCGCCATGTTGGAGAAAAAGTAGAAGTGAAGAGTGCAATTTCCCGCTGTAAATCGTTAGAGAGTTGCGGCCCTGGAGAAGGAACAGGAGGATACCGTAAGTTAGCCAAAATAAGGGAGTACCAGGATAAGCTCAAGGGGAACGGAACTACTAATAAGGCTGAAGAAGACACATGAACTGTGAGTGAACTTTCCCTCCTCACGGAACGCCCTGAAGGGCACATTCAAGAAGGCTGGAGAGGCACGTTTTACGAGGGTATGTAGTGATTGGATGACGCGTGATGGCTTCAAAATGGAAGATGAGAGATTTAGATTAGGTGCCAGGAAGAAATCTCTCACTCTGAGGGTGGTGAGCCCCTGGGGCAGGTTACCCCGAGAAGCTGTGGCTGCCCCATCCCTGGAGGTGTTCAAGGCCAGGTTGGACGGGGCTTGGAGCAACCTGGGCTGGTGGGAGGTGTCCCTGCCCAGGGCAGGGGGTGGCACTGGATGAGCTTTAAGGTCCCTTCCAAATTAAGCCATTCTATAATTCTTTGATTCTTTGCGTAGTAAAAAGAGAGGATGCTGTGGCTTTTAAGTAGGGACCAAGCACAGCTGAGAACCAATGAGAATGAGGAAGGCAAAGCATAACTGTAGAAAGTACTGATAACTTGCTTAACTGTTGCTCAAAAGGTACAGTGTGCTAGCCTGAGGTGTGCTAGCCTTGTGGATGAACCACCTAGCACTCATCTCGGCACAGAAATTAAATAAACAACATCTCGCTTATGTGTGTATATCTGTTTCTTGCACACTGAAGCAGAAAAGAACCCAGATTTGGGACAACAGCTGGGCTGGGCTGATGCCATCTCACCCTGCAGGTGCGTGTGGAGTTCATGGACGACACCAGCCGCTCCATCATCCGCAACGTGAAGGGGCCGGTTCGCGAAGGCGATGTCCTCACCCTGCTGGAGTCGGAGCGTGAGGCCCGACGGCTGCGCTGAGCTGGGCCTGGCTGCCCTGGCCTCACCGCTCCCCTTCAGGTGATGAAGCCTCGCGGCCGGCTGGCATCTCCCCAGCCAGGCATAGGCCACGGATGGAGAGGAGCGTGGTGGTGGCCTTGCTGCAATAAAGGGTTTTTCCAGTAATCCCTTGCCTGGGCCTCCCTCATTTGAACGCACAAGCGGTCTGCTCTGCCACAGCCCTTAGCACCTGCCTCATTGTTGGGTTTTTAGCAGAGGGGCAGAAGCACACCCTGCTTCTTACTGGGGCTACACATAATGTCTTCATTGAAATATGACTGAGTTCTTGCATTTTTATTAACCTGTCACAACAAAAACAACTCTGTTTTGATTACAGCAACCTTAATCCTAACCTTTCTGGTAAGTGTCTTTCTGTATGTAACCAGTAAAGCAGCACCACTAAACGTACTGGACTTCCGTGGAATGTCATTACAAGTTGAAAGTGAAGCTTTATACCAGTTTGCAAAGCAACAGCCTGCTGCTTCTGTCTTCCTGTCCTCAGTAAGCTATTCTATAAACGCTGCTATAAATACTCCTACTTGCTGTCTTTCCTGGCAGTCACCCACAGAGAGTGAGTGCTTGTCTCTCTCCCCATAGAGGAGTTAGTAAACAATCTCACTTATTTTCATCCTCAGGGTTCTCCTCCATCACACGATCCACCAAAAAGGTTTATTGTTAGCCTATTATATATATATAAAGTAAAAGTAAGCCTGAAAGAATTACAAATGAGCCTGAAAATGGTCACAGTTCAAGGGCTGTTTTTTCAGTACTTCTATTTTCTATCTGGTAATAGAGTGATACTGGTTTGTGGTGTTTGAATTGAGCTGGCTTGGCGGCTCATGATCCTGTGGTCTTTGATGGGGGTGTTCTTCATCCTTCAATGTCCTGCACTTAAGATTAAGGCACTTTAGTGGCAGGTGGGATTGAGGGTTTGAGTATCCTAAAGCTGAGGAACGGATGTCCAAATTACTGAACCTGTGCAGATAGTGAGGATTGCTGTTAGGGCTGGTGTTGGAAGAGTGTGGTGTTTTTTTTTTTTTTTCCTTCCTGTGGGTATTAGTTGTGCCCTGGTCAGCCCCTGGGCGGCCCGAGGTGCATTTTGTGTTCACGAGAAAGCCCTTGTCAATATGTGCTCATGCTGCTGCTTCATCTGGTTCTTGGTTCTTCTTTGGTGGTGGTTTGCTTTCAGAGCATCAGGGGGGCCGTGCTCCCCTGATTCCTATGATGTAGCAGAGCTCTGGGGAGCTGCTGAGTGCAAGTCCACCTTGGAGTTTACTTCTCTGGCTGCTGTTTGTTCCCTGCACAGCTTTAGCAATGACTGAAGAGCGTTTGCTCTGGCAGCTGCCAGCTGTGACCGTGCTGAGTGACTGAGACAGGAGGCATCAGCTGCGAGTCAGTGGCCAGGCAGGTAAACTTGTAGTGGGGGTGGCTCAGAGCAGCTGTAGCCCTTCCCGAATATCCCTGTGGGGTCAGCGTAGCCCTTAGCCATGTGAGGAGGGAGGTGACTTTGCATCCCCACTCTCAATCCAATGATTGTCCTTTATAGCAGCTTAATAACAAAGGGCTACATCTGGTCCCTCTGTACTGCTCGGTCCTGTGAAGTGAAACAGGCCAGAAGACACCATGGTACCCGAGTCAGGGTTCCTGACTGGGACAGTTCAGCTGGAGGAAAACCAGACTGATGGGGAAGAAAACCAGACTGATGGATGCAGCCAGTTCATAAACATGCAGGGAATGAATTCAAATGTACGGGCAACCGCTCAGGGCAAGGGCTGTGCCAGGCTGTCCCATGGCTGAAGCTGTTCTGGGGTTTGTAGCCCGAGCCAGACAATGAGGCAGGAGAATGCTTATGGTCACTGTAATATTTGAAAATAATTTTACTTTAAATTTTATTTATATCTTAAAATAAACATCAGTATTAAAATATCAGTAAACAAACCTGTGGAACCAAAGCAGTGAATATGGAATACATATGGAGTAGTGTACTAGCTGTGAGCATCATGTGTTAATTTCAGTGCAAAGCTGAACCGGGCCCACTACAAGGACAGCAGCGTGTTGCCCAGAACAAGTTTCTTGGGGAGCATTTCCCATCTTACAGTATGGCTCAGACAGGCCTGTGTGGGGCAGGAGTGATGGTGAGGGAGGCTGGGCCAAGGAGCAGAAACGGGGGCTGCGACAGGCATTACCTTTGTGAAAGACTCAGAGAGCAGAGCCAGCTTCACATGCAAAAGCCTCTTCCTTCTTCCTCCCCATCCTTAGTCCTTACCTTTGTTCCCACCCTGCCTGGTGCACACATACACACACACACTTGCACGGACGCACACACATCCTCCAACATACATGTCCATCTCCACGGGCCCTAGGCTCTCTCTCAGTTCTTCTTGCCGGTCTTTTTTTTTTCCTTGAGCTATACTCAGCCATTCTTCTCCCTTTTGGGAAGGAAAGTGGGCAGAGAGCAACTTGGCTGTGGGCTCTGGTTACCTTCCCAGTCAGTGGCTGTGAGACTGTTTACAGTGGGAAAAGTTTAGAAGGCAATTGATATCTTTCCCTTGGGAGAACGTCCCTGCTCCCCGTCTGGGGTATCGGCTGGGCAGTCTCAGTCCCTAAATGCGTTCATGGCTCTTGGCCCCCTTCTGTCAGCTTGGCTGCAGCCCCAGATGCCCAGAAGTTTTGTTCCCATTGAGCAAATCAAATCACTGAGTGATTTCATGTTGAACTCCATCCTTTGAATAAGCAATAATTTTTTTTTTTTTTTTTTGCTTTGTGTGCATGTGCTAGAAACAATTCAGATTTCGGCCAGGAAAGGAAATGCCACGAAAGAAGGGCAGGCACTTCAGGCTGGAAGTACTCCCAGCCTGTGTCTGAGGCAGTGTTAACCAGCTGGTTTGTGTCCCCTCTCCCGTCGCTGAGCACCGTTTCCCCTCCAGCAGCACAGCAGGGTCCAGGGGCTGCCGCTCACCTTCCCGCAGCCCCGCTCTCAACAGGAGCTGCTGGGAGCTGGCTGAGAGAGCAGAAACCAGGTGCTATTTCTGCTGGGTTTGTCATCTGCTGTTGCAGTGAGTTAGCAACGTGCAGAGGGCTCTGAGGCGGTGCAGCTCCAGCGGTTGAGGGAGAGCAGAGGGGATAGGCATGGCTTCTACACACTGCATTTCCCACCCCAAGGTCACTTGATGCTTGGCTCCTCTGTCACTTGTGGTGGAGCAAGGTGGCCATGCGTGGGCTGCTTCCAACAGCGGAGGTGGGTGAGTGAGGCCCAGGGACGTCACCTGCTCTAGTGACGGGAGGATTAAAACGTCTGCAGCCACAGGGAACAATTCGGCACACAAAGGAGTGGCAGGAGAGGGGACACGAACTACAGCCTAGCGCTGATGATGGCTGGCTGCACACAGCTGGCCCCTAGCTGGATCCAAAGGTCATTCTAATTGGGTTTCTTTGGGCTCCCAGGGCTCTTCGTGGCTGCTGGTGATGTCCCCTGCTGCACAGAGAGCAGAGTCACAAAATGTTACCAGAGACCCCTCCAGTGACTCCTGGTCAGGGCCAAGCCAGGCTGGGTCCCTTCTGCTGAGGATGCACCAAGCATGTGGCACGGGGATGCTCTGCCCTTGTCCCTGCAGCCCCTTCCTGGGGAGCAGCAGCTGTGTCACAGCCCTGTCCCCTCCCACGGGGCCACCTGCCCAACATGCAGCTGAGCTAGTGGCACGGTGCCACCTCCATGGCTCTTGTGTGGGACAGGGCAGGTGGCAGGAGCTGGAGGGGCTGCGGTACTCACGGGCACCTGCGCCTTTGTGCCGTTGAGGTGGGCGTAGAGGAGCACAGCGATGTTGCTGTGACCGGCTTCCAGTGCGATGGCAACGGCATTGTTACCATCCTAAAAAGGAAGGGAGAGCCTGTTGGGAAGAGGTCTGGGGAGGGGACGCAGGGCAGGCGAGTGTGCCTAAGCCCCCCCCAGTGGCAGAGGCTTACGCTGTCCACGATGGAGATGTTGCAGGTGGGCTGAGCCAGCAGCAGCTTCACTGTCTCCACACGGCCGTGCTCACAGGCGCACATCAGTGCAGTTGAGCCCTCCTCGTCCTGCAGATTCACATCGGCTCCGCAGGCGAGCAGGGCTTCCACCATCTCTTGCCGGCCGGGGCTGACAGCCAGCATCAGTGCCGTCTGGCCAGCCTGTAAGTCAAGGAAGACTGCCAGGCTGCTCCTGCCCCGGCTGTGCCATCCTCTCTTCCCACTGCCCTGGGGAGGGACCACTGCCATCCCCAGTGCCTGCACAGCCTCTGAGCACCTCCCTGGCTGGACATGAGAGGTGGGTGAAACCATGAGAGCCCTCATGACAGGCAGGAGGAGCTCCTAATAAGATGCCCTCCCCACGTACCGGCCCTTCCAGGTTTTGGAGCCACTGTCCTGCCCTTGGAGGAGCCAAGTGTGGCCCTGGCAGCTCCTTGAGGGTGAGGGGAGAGGGTCAGGATGTGATGGCCCCCAGCCTACACCAACCTGGCTGGCCTTGGCGTTGACATTGCCCATGCTGAAGAGCCTCCTGACCACGTTCATGTCGTCTTCCTGCTCGACGGCCGCCAGCGCTGCCAGCATGAGAGCTGTGTAGCCAGCTTTGTTCTGGTGGTCCACATTACAGACCCCTGCGGGGATGGACAGAGCCAGGGGGCTCAGGGTGCTCTGGGGCTGGTGGGAAGCACAGACCCAGCCACGTGCCTGGCTCACGTCCTGCCCAGGGGGCCACAAGCTGTCCCACAGCCCCACAGGCACAGACCTGCTGATGGATTCCTCTCCCCCCCCCCATCAATTCTGGGCTCCCAAAGGGCTGGGGTGGCCGCCCAAACCCCACACCTGTGCGCAGACACAGCCCAGGGCAGCTCTCCCCATCCCTCCACTGCCAGCACCTTCCCCCCACACTTGGCATGGCCGGGATGTGACCCAGCATAGAGAGCAGGATGGCAGCAGGGGGACGTTTCTGGGGGTGGGGAGCACTGACCTGTGTCCAGCAGCAGCCGCACGATGTGGAAGTTGGAGTGGGAGACGCTGTAGTGCAGGGCCGTGTTGCCGTTCCCATCTGCCAGGTTCACCACGTGGGTCAGGAGAGCTGGCGAGACCTCGGCAAAGGCCAGGAGGTGGTTGGCAACCGTGTCGGGGATGGACGACTTCTGGCTGGACAGACGGAACCACTCCTGGAGGACCATGCTGCTGCTGGCGAGCTGCGGGCGGCGAGCAGTGCTCAGCTGGGGGCTGCGGCTCCCCCCGCGCCCTCCCGCACCCATCCCGCTTCAGAGGGGTTTGGGTGAAGGCAGGACCCTGAACCCCCAAAACTATGCTGGGACAGCCCGAGCTGAGTCCATACGGGTTTTGGGGTGTCTGGGACAAAGCCTGGAGCAAAGGGCTGTGTTTTGGGGGCAGGTGCTGAGCTGGGCTTTGCTGGCCCATCTTTGGGGAGGGCCAGCCCTGGGGGAGGACCCCGGCAGGGGCTGGGCGAGCTGTCCCACCCACAGCACCCCACTCACCACCTCTTTGCTCTTGGTGGCACCGGGGTGGCCCAGGTGGGTCTTGACGATGAGGCAGGCCTCCCGCATCCTGGGGCTCAGCTCGAACCTGGGGAGAGCAGGAGGGTGTCTGCGGTGCGGGGCTGCGTCCCCCCACCAAAGCCGTGCTGGCAAGGGGCACCCCGTGCCCCAGCAGGTGTCTCGCTCCTCTCCCTCATGCCCGCCAGCCTCCACCAGCTCCCCATGGCACAGCGTACAGCCTGGTGGTTGCACCCCGGCAGCTTCAGCCTCTGCAAACCCTGCTAAACTGAGCCTTATATGGACGTGCTCAGGCATGATTTACCCATTTTTAGGCCATTTTTTTTCCTTTTGTTGAAAAATGCCATTAAGGGCTGCTGTTTGGCTTTTTTTTCCACCTCCAAACTATCTTCTCCAGCAAAGAGGTATCTGGGGCTTCAGTCTCATCCTTTCCTTAGCACACCCAAGAAGCTGGAAGCATTTTTTTCCTGCTAAATGGTTTCTGCAGGAGCTGAAGATGTTTTTCCCATTGGCTGCACTGGAACCGGGCCAGATGTCCCAAGTCAGCAGGGCCGGTGCCAGCCCGTGGCTCCCAGTAGTGTGGGGCCACAGAGCCTTCCCCATTGGCACTTACTTCTCCTTCACCTCGGGGTGCTCTGGGACGGTCACGCTGGCCCCCTCGTGCTCCCGTCCTGGCTCGCTCTCACCTTCCCCAGCCTCCTCATCTGAGGTTTCGGTGTCCCCCTGCTCCTCACTGTCAGAGCTGTCGGCTGAAGCCTTCTCGGAGGAGCTGTCTCCTTCGTCTTCCTCCTCCTCTTCCTCCTCACTGGACGTGCTCTCGTACCTGCACGGAGGGAGGATGCTCAGTGGCAACACAGCACCTAGTTCGTCCCCTCCAGGCCCCCCATTGCCAGTGCCTCCCACCCAGGACAGGGGTGCAGGGGGCCAGGGCTGGCCCAGGGGGGTGGCAGGAGCCCCTTGGCACGTACTCCCCGTTCAGCACGCCCACAAACTGCAGGCTCTTCTTGCTGCCTTCGGCCTCGCTCCGGGGGATACCGTCCCGCTTCTTCATGATGGACTTCAAAGCTCCTGGGGGAAGAGAGACGGGTGTCAGGGGCCAGCGAGGAGGAACCTCCCAGCATGGCTGCCTGGGCAGCCCAAACCTGGAGGCCCCAGGCAGGCATGGGAGGGACATGGGCAGAGTGCAGGCAGCTGCTGTGACACAGACAGCGTTGGCCCCACAGGTGCTGTCCCCAAGAGGGCCACCCTCTCCCTTCCTGCAGGAACATCCCAGCTCAGACCCTAGTGTAACCCCCGGAGCCAACTCACCGGCCAAGGGCTCGGGGGCAGCTCCGCCATCCCGTGCTGGGGACAGGTCCTGGCCGCTGTGCATCATCCCTG